GAACTAAGTCAACCCAAAACTCCTTTCTTCCTCTACCAAGAAGCCAGCCGATGACTTAAGCCAGTTAAAAAAAAAAAAACATTTTATATACTCTCACCTTTAAGGGGTTGGTGCATAAACAGCTTGAAGTCTTCGCATGGCATATTTTGTGACACATCATAAAGGGATGCCAGAGCTGCATTCGAATTATGCCGTCGTTTCCCCTTATAATTTGACATTAGGGTGGGAATATATAAAGCGCTTATTTGGATAGCTTAAGTCATCGGCTGGCTTCTTCGCAATGAACAAAGGAGCCTAGGGCCAAAATCGAACTAAGTCAACCTAAAACTGCTTTGTTCATCTATGAAGAAGCCAGCCGATGACTTAAGCCAGCCTAATAAGCGCTTTATGTATTCCCACCTTTAATATGCATAGCCATGACTTCAAGCTTTTTATATACCTTTACCCTGACAAGTCTTGAAATTAAGTCTGACACTGCTTATGAAAGGTTAACTAACAGAAAGTAATTTTGACATTTAATCTACTTTTAAAGATCTAGTGGGCCTTATTATCGCGCAATATTTTTTGTGATATTCATAAGTCAAAATTTTATCTCTCAGTTATTTATTCTTTAAAGGCGGAGATGCACTGGCAGGATGTCATTGTTTTTTTTTTCATTTTTCCCTGTAAAAAGTAATCTATTAAAAACGCTTTTTGAATTAGGTCGTACTTGCGCTTTTTTATTTATTTTATTTTTTCCTCTCTTCTTTGTTGCCTTTTGACAGAGTTGCCATCTCTCGTCTTGTTTGTTAACGGCAGTAACGGAGATGCCACAATTTCATCAGCAAATATAAATCAAATAAATCAATCGTGTCATGCTATGCTGATGGGCCTTTGAGGCCAGAACCCATTTAGCCAATTCTTAACTTTTTGACATTTTAACAGCAAGAAAATAAAGTCAATAGTCAGCTAACTATTGTTATGTTCCAGAACTGCAAGAATACAAAAATTTTCACTACAATAAGGGTTTATTCCTTTATGATATCGAAAAAGAAATTGCAAAACTATTAGATTCCTGCAGGTCCTGGCACATATCTTGCTTTTGGTACTCAAATAATTCCCTTTTGTAGTAGAAAATCACTTAAATTGCAAATTGTCTTCATTTTAGGAAACCAAAACCTCCATAAATTCCTATCACCATCATCGCGCGCCACGAACGCCAGAAAGTTATTTCAATGTTCCCGAATCGATAGCCCTGCTAAATATTGTCAAATCCGAACGCATTCAAACTGCATTTCAATCAAATCGTAAAAATCATGCCAGTGTTTGGGAAATGGTGGCCGAAGTACTTAATCGTTACAGTGCCCGTAAACGTTCGGCTAAACAGTGTTGTAATCGCTATGAGAATCTGAAAAAAATCTATACCCAGTTGAAAAAGAACCCCGAGCGACATGTGCGGCGCAATTGGCCATATATGTTTTTGTTCAAAGAAATCGAAGAGCAGCGAGGTGAATGTTGGGGTTCGAACAGTAAACGCATTGCACTGTTGGCCAAGAATCAGGATGAACTTTCATATTATCATCGCCGAAGGCAAGCGGCGGAATTTGGTGCCTTGTTGGATAAACAGACACAAGCTGCGGTCGTGGCGCAACATAATCTCTTGCAAAGTCTGGCAGCCGTTCATTCCAATGATTCGAGTTCGAATTCAAAATTGGAACGCTTTTTACCCAACCACTTTGTGGAGGCTCAATTGGGCAATGATAACAGTGGCGTCACCCTCAATGGCAATGCTGGGGAGAGGGGTACTGGCAGCAGTAATGGTAGTGGAGGTGGTGGTGGAGGCGGCATTGGCGGCGATTTAGGTACCAATGGCAGTGTCTACGATGATTCACCCTCACCTCTATCCCTACAAATGTCACGCAAGGATCACCATGACACGCACAATATCTCAGCCGAATTACCCGATAATGCTGCCCACAATCTCTTGCAAGCCCATTTGAGTGGTGGTGTAGCGGCAGCTGCTGTTGCCGCAGCAGCAGCCAACAATCTCAAGGAGGCTTTAGCTCAACAATACGAAAAAGACTGTAATGGGGCATTGAATCTGCAAACAAGCGACAATAATGTCTCAATGAAGTAAGTATTCTGTTGTCGATTGCAAATGGGGCGGAAAATAAATGGAACTAATTCCAAGTGATGGTGATTCTTACAGATCGGAACCTATGTCAGATGGCGAATTTAATCCCGATGATATCCAGCTAATGCCGACTAATTATAATGGGTAAGTTTGAAGGTCTTTATTGGTGGCGGGGGGTTTCAAACAAAATAGTTATTAAAGAAATGTCCAACAAAAACAAGTAAAAAGCTGTAACCTCGGCCGGGCCAAACTTTGAATAGCCTCCACCATTTGGCAGGAATTTGGCAATTTTCAAAAAAATAAGGTCCGTACCAAATTTGATACAATTCCGGTGAATATGGTCACTAAAATCATTAAAATACCGAATATCGGCAGGTACCGTTATATGGAGGCTATACGAAGACGTGGGCCTGCACAGACAATTTTCTGCCATAGGCTGAAGTATTCATTACGAACTTCAAATACGAAATTTGAAACAATTCCGGTGAATAATATCACTAAAACCATGAAAATACCGAATATCAGGAGGTACCGTTATATGGGGGCTATACGTAGACGTGGACGAGCACAGACAATTTTTTGTCTTAGGCTGTAGTATCCATTACGAACTTCAAAAACCAAATTTGAAACAATTCCGGCGAATAATGTCGCTAAAATCATCAAAATACCGAATAACGGGAGGTACCGTTGAATGGGGGCTATATGAAAACGTGGACCTGCACAGACAATTTTCTGCCTAAGGCTGCAGTATCCATTACAAACTTCAAATATTAAATTTGAAACAATTCCGGTGAATAATGTCGCTAAAATCATCAAAATACCGAATATCGGGAGGTACCCTTATATGGGGGCTATACGAAGACCTGGACCTGCACAGACAAGTTTTTGTCTTAGGCTGTAGTATCGATTACGAACTTCAAATGCCAAATTTGAAACAATTCCGGTGAATAATGTCGCTACAATCATCAAAATTCCGAATATCGGGAGGTACAGTTATATGGGGGCTATGCGAAGAACTGGACCTCCATAGATAATTTTCTGTCATAGGCTGCAGTATCCGTTACGAATTTCAAATACCAAATTTGAAACAACTCCGATGAATATTGCCGCTAAAATCATCAAAATACCAAATATCGGGGGGTACCGTTATATGGTGGCTATACGAAGACGTGGACCTGCACAGACAATTTTCTGTCATAGGCTATAGCATCCATTACAAACTTCAATTCCGGTAAATAATGTCGCTAAAATCATAAAAATACCGAATATCGGGAGGTGCCGTTATATGGAGGCTATACGAAGACGTGGACCTGCACAGAGAATTTTCTGTCATAGGCTGTGACATTTATTACGAAATTCAAATACCAAATTTGAAACAATTCGGGTGAATAATGTCGCCAAAATCATCAAAATACTGAATATTGGGAGGTACCACTATATGGGGGCTATGCGAATAACTGGACCTCCATAGACAATTTTCTGTCATAGGCTGCAGTATCCATTACGAACTTCAAATACCAAATTTGAAACAATTCCGGTAAATAATGTCGCTAAAATCATGAAAATACCGAATATCGAGGGGTATCGTTATACAAAAACGTGGACCTACATGGTCCATTTTCAATACCAAAAGTCCTGCAGACATAATATACATTTGAGTAAAAGTTTTTCAATCTTCTTCATTTCGTTCGGAAGCTAGAGTGATTTCCGCAGACGGACATCGCTAGAATTTTGTGCTGATCAAGATTATATATACTTTGTGGGGTCTAAAATGCATATTTCGAGGTGTTACAAACGGAATGACAAACTTAATATGCCCTCCATACTATGGTAGAATAATACAGGTAGTCGCATTGACACAGCTGCTGGAACAATGAACTGTCAAACCAATTTTTGAATTGAATTTTTGAATGAAAAATTATATAAATCTATAACAAGTGTTTAAAAATACCTACCATAACAGCCTATGATCTGCGTCGTATTGGAAAACATTTACAAATCTACTTATTTTGGAAGAAGCATTTAGAAATTTTTGACATATCAATGTTTCCAAGCTTTGATGCATCTACCTGTATTCTTCTAGCATGCTCCATACTATGGTGAAGGGGATAAAAATTGTAAGTGGCGTCTTTCCTTTATGTAGACATAAAAAATTAATTTAAAAAATATTATCAAAGACTGATTTATTTATAGAATTACTTTTCCTAAAACTTGCCGTGCTATAAACGTGAAAATCCAGCTTAAAAAGCTATTTAAATGTATTAAAATTAATATTTAGAAATTTGATATAATATAAAGAAATTTGATGTATGGCCTGGCATCTTTATTTTATAACACTAGAAGGGGCATTGTTTATTTCATGTAACGTTAGATGGTGGAGGGTATAAAAATTGAATTGTTTCCAAAGTAGCGCGAATGTCCCTTATGTAGACATTAAAAATTAATTTAAAAAAATATTATCAAAGACTGATTTATTTATAGAATTGCTTTTCCTACAACTACCCGTGCTATAAACATGAAAATCCAGCTTCAAAAACTATTTACATTTATTAAAATGAATATTTCATAAAGAAATTTGATGTATGCCCAGGCATCTTTATTTATGCCAAAAGAAGGCGCAAAGTTAATGTTATGTAACGTTAGATACACCCAATTAGTGTAAACATAACGTAACGTACTGCGACACATTGCAAGTAACGGTTGGAAGGCTTTTTATTTCTTTTTATTTTTGGATTAAAACAACGTTTTTTAGCATTTTTATTTTATTTTAGCAATTTTATATTAATTTTTCTCCTTTCTTCTTTTTTCTAGCTCCCAAAACTTCTACCCCAACAACATTGATCACAATATCCTGCATCCCGATGTAATTGTGGACACGGATAATCTAACTGAATGTAGCAGTGGACAGACCCCAAAGACAAAACGGAAACTATCAACATCCACGGATGGTGACAGTACCAATTATGAACTGATCGAATACCTGAAGAGGCGGGAAAAACGTGATGAGGAATTGCTGCGACGTATGGATGCACGCGAGGAGAGACTATTGAATTTATTGGAACGAACAGTGGTGGCTATAGAGGCTCTAACACAACAATCACGTTGTACACACAATCCACCGCCGAGGTCATCAACTCCAAAGCCAGAAAATCCAGAGCAGCCCATTGACAATAAATTACTAAATGGCAATGCGTTTAAAGTGAAATTATCCAGCATTTCGAATAATTGTAGCTCCGTAGTGGCAAATAAATCGGCCACTAAAGATGAAAAAGAAGAAGCAGAAGGGGAGGCAGAAGAAGACGAAGATAAGGAAAAAAGTAATAATGAAATGAAATCTTAAAAAGAAACTCGAAAAAGTGCCATCAAGAATCTTCAAATGCAGAACAATACTCAAAAACCAAAATCAAATGACTTAATTATGGAACCAAAGATTGCTAATTATTTTTAATTTTTATTATTTTATATAAATGAGATTTACTATATTTTACTTTGTACCCAGTAACTATTTTTTAGTTGTAATGTTGAAAAAAAAAAACAGAGAAAATCATGAACAAAACTCCCAAAGAATTTGAAAAGGAAAAAAAGAGAATTAAAGCTAAGCCAAAACTCAAATCAAAGTGCCAAACAATTACTTAATTATTTATAATAAATGCCAAATATTTTATATTAATTCTTAATTTTTTTCTAAAGTATATTATAAGCTGTATGTGTTTTGTTAAAGGAAAACTTAATTTTGCTAAGTATATTTTTTTGAAAAAAAACTATATTGAATTGAAAGAAATACTTAACTATTTTCAATATAGTTAATCATATGTGTTGTGTCGTTGTGTGCCTTAAACATAACATAACTATTTTTTTATTATTTAAGAAAAATTCAGCATGAGAAATGCTAAATGGAATGCAAATCAAACCAAGAAAAACGAAACCAAGAAAAACGAAACTCAAATAAAATAACTCATTTTTTATAAACCCAAAACAAATTTAAAATGACTTTTTTTCATTTTCTAGAAAAAAAAATAAGACTAATGCCATGTTTACGTTACAACTTTTTGTAGGGTTAACCTACTTTGAGAGGATTTATTTGAAGTAAAAGTAATGGATATGACAATTTAAATCCAAATCCATCATCATATATATAAACGTACTGTTAGGGATTCTTGAAAATTGAGTTAGTTTAGGAGTGTAGTAAAAATATTGCTTTTGGTTGCAAATCGCAAATAGTTTTAATTTTTGTTTTTGTTCGGAAAGTGAGGTTAGAATATGTTAAGGAATAATTTTCAGCATCCAACTATAAGCTACCAGTTCGGGGTGCAATAGAAATATGAAAACAAGTAAAAAAACACCATCATTTGGAAGGATCTTGAAATTTTTCAAAAAAAAAAAAAAAAAAAATACGAAGACGAAGACGACCACTTAATTGAAATCCGTTCTATGGGGACTATACGAAGAGGAGAACCTGCTTACGAATTTTTACAATTCCGGCGAATAATGCTACTAAAATCAACAAAGTACCGAATATGAGGAGGTGCCGTCATATGAGGGCTATACCAAAGCGTGGACCTGCACAGACAATTTTCTGTCATAGGCTGTAGTATCCATTACGAACTTCAAATTCCAAATTTGAAACAATTCCGGAGAATAATGTCGCTAAAATCGTCAAAATGCCGTGCCGCTATATGGGGGCTATACGAAGACGTGGACCTGCACGAACTTCAAATACCAAATTTGAAACAATTCCGGTGAATAATATACCGAGTATCGGGAGGTACCGTCATATGGGAGCTATACGAAGACGTGGACCTGCACAGACAATTTTCTGTCATAGGCTGTAGTATCCATTACGAACTCCAAATACCAAATTTGAAAGAATTCCGGTGAATAATGTCGCAAAAATCATCAAAATACCGAATATCGGGAGCTACCGTAGTATGGGGGCTATACGAAGACGTGGACCTGCACAGACAATTTTCTGTCATAGGCTATAGCATCCATTACGAACTTCAAATACCAAATTTGAAACATTTCCGGTGAATAATGTCGCTAAAATCATCAAAGTACCGAATATCGGGAGCTACCGTAATATGGGGGCTATACCACAACGTAAACCTGCACAGACAATTTTCTGTCATAGGCTGTAGTACACATTGCGAACTTTAAATACCAAATTTGAAACAATTCCAGTGAATAATGTGCCTAAAATCATCAAAATATCGAATATTGGGAGGTTACGCTATATGGGGGCTATACGAAGACGTGGACCTGCACAGACAATTTTCTGCCTTAAGCTGTAGTATCCAATTCGAACTTCAAATACGAAATTTGAAACAATTCCGGTAAATAATGTCGCTAAAATCATCAAAAAACCGAATATCGGGAGGTACCATTATATGGGGGCTATACGAAGACATGGACCTGCACAGACAATTTTCTGCCTTAAGCTGTAGTATCCATTTCGAACTTCAAATACGAAATTTGAAACAATTCCGGTAAATAATGTCGCTAAAATCATCAAAATACCGAATATCGGGAGCTACTGTTATATGGGGGCTATAAGAAGACGTTGACCTGCACAGGAAATTTTCTGTCAAATACCAAATTTGAAACAATTCCGATAAACAATGTCGCTAAAATCATCAAAATGCCGAATATCGGGAGGTACCGTTACATGGGGGCTATAGGAAGACGTGGATCTACATGGCTCATTTTCTGTCTTAGGATGTAGTATCCATTACGAACTTCAAATACCAAAATTGAAACAATTCCGGTAAATAATGTCGCTAAAATAATCAAAATACCGAATATCGGAAGGTACCGTTAAATGGGGTCTATATGAAAACTTGGACCTACATGGCCCATTCCAATACCAAAAGTCCAACAGACATAATATACATTTGAGTAAAATTTTATCAATCTATCTCATTTCGTTCGGAAGCTAGAGTGAATTCCACAGACGGACAGGCGGACGGACATCACTAAATCGACATAGAATTTTATGCTGATCAAGAATATATTGTGGGGTCTAAAATGTATATTTCGGTTTGTTACAAAAGGAATGGCGAACTTAATATACCTCCCATACCATGGTTGAAGAATACAGGTAGTCGCATCGACACAGCTGCTCGGACTTTCTACTTATTTTTGAAGAAACATTTAGAAATTTTTGACATATTAATGTTTTCAAGCTTTGATGCATCTACCTTTATTCTTCTACCATGCTCCTTGGTGGAGGGTAGACATAAAAAATTAATTTAAAAAAAATATTATCAAAGACTGATTTATTTATAGTATTACTTTTCCTACAACTATCCGTGCTATAAACGTGAAAATCCAGCTTAAAAAGCTATTTAAATGTATTAAAATTAATATTTAATAAAGAAATTTGATGTATGGCCTGGCATCGTTATTTTATGCCACTAGAAGGGGAAACGTTGATTTCATGTAACGTTAGATGTAGACATTAAAAATTAATTAAAAAAAAATATATTATCAAAGACTGATTTATTTATAGAATTAGGCTGGAAATACATAAAGAACATATTTGGATGGCTTAAGTCATCGGCTGGCTTCTTCGGAAATGAACAAAGGAGCCTAGGGCCAAAATCGAACTAAGTCAACCTAAACCTGCTTTGTTCATTTCCGAAGAAGCCAGCCGATGACTTAAGCCAGCCAAATATGCTCTTTATGTATTTCCAGCCTTACTTTTCCTACAACTACCTGTGCTATGAACGTGAAAACCCAGCTTCAAGCCCTATTTAAATGTATTAAAATGTATATTTCATAAAGAAATTTGATGTATGGCCTGGCATCTTTATTTAATGCCACCAAAAGGCGCAAAGTTAATGTCATGTAACGTTAGATAAACACAATTAGTGCAAACATAACGTAACGTACTGCGACATATTGCACGTAACGGTTAGAAGGCTGTTTATTTCTTTTTATTTTTGCATTTAAACAACGTTTTTTTTAGCATTTTTATTTTATTTTAGCAGTTTTTTATTAATTATTCTCTTTTCTTCTTTTTTCTAGCTCCCAAAACTTCTACCCCAACAACATTGATCACAATATCCTGCATCCCGATGTCATTGTGGACACGAATAATCTAACCGAGTGTAGCAGTGGACAGACCCCAAAGACAAAACGGAAACTATCAACATCCACGGATGGTGACAGTACCAATTACGAACTGATCGAATACCTGAAGAGGCGTGAAAAACGTGATGAGGAATTGCTGCGACGTATGGATGCACGCGAGGAGAGACTATTGAATTTATTGGAACGAACAGTGGTGGCTATAGAGGCTCTAACACAACAATCACGTTGTACACACAATCCACCGCCGAGGTCATCAACTCCAAAGCCAGAAAATCCAGAGCAGCCCATTGAAAATAAATTACTAAATGGTAATGCGTTTAAAGTGAAATTATCCAGCATTTCGAATAATAGTAGCTCCATAGTGGCAGATAAACCTGCTACTAAAGATGATAAAGAAGAAGCAGAAGGGCAGGCAGAAGAAGACGAAGATAAGGAAAAAAGTAATAATGAAATGAAATCTTAAAAAGAAACTCAAAAAAGTGCCATCAAGAATCTTCAAATGCAGAACAATACTCAAAAACCAAAATCAAATGACTTAATTATGGAACCAAAGATTGCTAATTATTTTTAATTTTTATTATTTTATATAAATGAGATTTACTATATTTTACTTTGTACCCAGTAACTATTTTTTAGTTGTAATGTTAAAAAAAAAACAGAGAAAATCATGAACAAAACTCCCAAAGAATTTGAAAAGAAAAAAAGAAAATTAAAGCTAAGCCAAAACTCAAATCAAAGTGCCAAACAATTACTTAATTATTTATAATAAATGCCAAATATTTTATATTAATTCTTAATTTTTTTCTAAAGTATATTATAAGCTGTATGTGTATTGTTGAAGGAAAACTTAATTTTATAAGGTATATTATTTGAAAAACGGCTATACTGAATTGAAAAAAATACTTAACTATTTTCAATATAGTTCTTCATATGTGTTGTGTCGGTGTGTGCCTTAAACATAACTTAACTATTTTTTTTAATTATTTAAGAAAAATTCAGCATGAGAAATGCTAAATGGAATGCAAATCAAACCAAGAAAAACGAAACCAAAATAATCTCAAATAAAATAACTCATTTTTTATAGATCCAAAACAAATTAAAAATGACTTTTTTTATTGAGTTAGTTTAGGAGTGTAGTAAAAATATTGCTTTTGGTTACAAATCGGGATTGTTGTGGTTCAGTCCCTCCTTGCTTAGTCCTAGAGGGACTGGCTCATCAAGTTATCAGCTAGTGGATTACTATCGGACTAACAATTTGCCAATAACAGCTTGAGTCAGGAAATAATAGGGAATACATCAACCTCGCTTTGAGGTTATTATTTGTACACTACTTCACCGAATTCGTCTTAGCAATTCGGCTGTCAATAAAAATATTCTCCATTTCGACAAAAATTTATTTTCATAACAAAAATTTTGTAACAATTAAAAATTCCTTCACCGCATCACAGAAATGGTCTCCAGATTGGCAGTAGTAGCAATAACGGCATCGCTACATTTGATATTGGGTGTATCGTCGTTTCATCGAACCAAAAGCTGATTTGTGTTCCAATGCTCCGCCTTTGGCAAGTTGGTTATTTATAATAGGATTTTTCGATTTACTCTTGGATATCGACATATTTCCTCTACGATACAGGCGTCTGCCGTACGTGTGCTGAGGTTGCAGCCGACACGGTGAAGAGTCTACTACTTGTCGAATTTAGTGCGTTAATTGTTTGGTCTACCATAGAGAATATGACGTGCAGAATGAGCAAAATTCTAATACTACTTCTTTCGGGGTTAAAGCCAAAAATCTATACTGAATGGGAACAGTAACAACAACGGCAACAACAACATTAAGTTTGACATTTCCTATATCCGTTGGTTATGCAGCCGGTCATTTTTATTTGTTGCAAAATAAATCGGTGCATTTGTATCGAAAAATAATCAAAAGTTGTACAAAATTATGGCAGAATACTCTACAAATTATGACATTCGATTCGAGGCGTAGTGGAATCGGCCAAGAATGCGAACAATCGAACAAATAATTGTTGCCGCTTGTCTGCAAATGCCGGATCCTTAAATTATGACGATATTTTACAATCAAAGAACTTCGAAACGGCTGGTCATCATTATCGCCGACGTAACCGCAGCCGGAGCCGAAATCGTCGTTAAGAAGCGGATATTTTGTGAATGTAAGCAAAACTTTCTAAATAAAACCAGAATTTCTTTAACAAATGGGATCATTGTTCTGTAAGGATTATGAACTAGTAAAAAATGAACAAGTAAAAAAGCTGTAAATTCGACCGGGCCGAACTTTGAATACCCTCCACCATTTGGTATAAATTTAACAATTTTCAAAAAAATGAAATCCGTTAAAAATTCTGTTATTATCTTAACCTAATATCTAATGTAGCCGTATATTAAAGTCTATACGACGACGTGGACCTGCATAGGCAACTTTTTTCACAAGCTATTACAATTTTCAAATGCGAAACTTGAAAGAAACAAATCTGTGTATAATATAGCTAGTATCATCAAAATACCGAATATAGGGAGGTACCATGGTGGTTTAAAAAACATGGATCTGCACAGACAATTTTCTGCCATAGGCTGTAGTATTCATTACGAACTTCAAATGCGAAATTTGAAACAATTCCGGTAAATAATGTCACTAAAATCATGAAAATACCGAATATAGGGAGGTACCGTTATATGGGGGCTATATGAAGACGTGGACCTGCACAGACAATTTTCTGTCATAGGCTGTAGTATCCATTACGAACTTCAAATGCGAAATTTGAAACAATTCCGATAAATAATGTCGCTAAAATCATGAAAATACTGAATATCGGGGGATACCGTTATATGGGGGCTATACGAAGGCGTGGACCTGCACAGACAATTTTTTGCCCTAGGCTGTAGTATTCATTACGAACTTCAAATGCCAAATTTGAAATAATTCCGGTGAATAATGTCGCTAAAGTCATCAAAATACCGAATATCGGGAAGTACCGTTATATGGTGGCTATACGAAGACGTGAATCTGCACACACAATTTTTTGTCTTAGGCTGTAGCATTTATTATGAACTTCAAATACCAAATTTGAAACAATTCGGGTGACTAATGTCGCTAAAATCATCAAAATACCGGAATTCGGGGGCTATACCACAACGTAAACCTGCACAGACAATTTTCTGTCATAGGCTGTAGTATCCATTACGAACTTCAAACACCCAAATTTGAAACAATTCCGGTGAATAATGTCGCTAAAATGATCAAAATACCGAATATCGGGAGTTACCGTAATATGGCGGCTATACGAAGACGTGGACCTGCATACGAAATTTTTTGTCATAGACTGTAGTATCCATCGCTAACTTTAAATACTAAATTTGTTGCAATTCCGGCGAATAATGTCGCAAAAATCAGGAAAATACCCAATATCGGAAGGTACCGTTATATGGGGGCTATACGAAGACGTGGACCGACCTACCTACCTACCTACTGGTAAACTATGCATGTATGCAAAATTTTAGCTCTATATCTCAATTCCTTCGAACGATTTTATCTCACCCTGCACCAAGAAAAATTAAAAACTACAAAGCTTGTTTCTAAAAGTTATTATTTTTACAAATATATTTTTGTGGTCCATTTCATTAATTACATTTAAATGTAAACATTAACAACTAAAAAACAAAGGAAAAATTATTAATGCACCTTCTTCTTGATTTTATAGCCAGATTTGGCTAAACTATTTTTAGTCTTTGCTATTTTTGTTTTGATAATTCTCTTTAGCTTCTCTCGAACTTCCATGTAATTCTCCTCAGTTGCAGCAGCCTCATCTGTCTTCTTGTAAATAAAGAATGTGGCACCCTCCTTCAGACGAGCATCCGTTTTGGGTATGAAAAATGATTCGATGGCAATTTTCGTTTTATTCTTTGTTTTCTTTGTATTTTGCGTTTCATTCTCTTTGCCCTTGGCAGTTTCCTGTTCCTCCTGCACTTCCTCCGACTCTGATTCTGACGAGGAGTCATAGGAGAAGGGATTAGCAGCGGGCGTAAACAATTTATCCAATTTATTGTTGACTAAAATCTTTTCGCTACCCAATTGTTTGAGTTTTTCATCGCGTTCCTCGAGTTGATCATTTTGTCCGAACATGCTCAGTAAACTGAAACCTTCACCGCGTGTCCGCAAAGATTCTTGCAGACTATCCTTGACCACATAGAATACTTCTTTTGAAACTTCAGGTGCAGGAGTTTCGGTGGCAGCTTCTGTTGAGGTGTCTTTTGTTTTTGTTGGTTTAGTTTTCTTAACTTGTTCCTCTTTGGAACGTTCAAATTTCTGATGTTCATCTTTGGAGGGATCATAACGCAACATTTTCTTGTTTTTGTGGTCTTTTTCTGGCCTCTTCCCTGAATCCAATTTAGTGCCAACCACCTGTTCCAAAATATTCATTTGCCAATCTCTTTCATTGTCTTCAGATTTTCCAGCAGAATCTTTTTGATCTTCCACTTCTTCCTCCTCCTCATCATCATCGCCTTCAACAAATTTGGCATCGATGCGGAAACGTGGATCCAAACTTTGATGGGCCTGCATTTTTAATAGTTTTTCTCCCTTTTTCCCCGAAGGCAATGCTTTGAATTCAATATTTTCATTCCCTTCTTCGTCATCGGAACCAAAAATATTGGTTTTTAATTTCTTTGATACCTCCACGGGGACTTTTGACTCCTCTGTATCACTTTCAGCATCACTGAATTTAATTTTTTTCGATTTTTGACTGGAATCCTAAAACAAAAAACATTTATGGAATTAATACCTATATCCCTTTGTTTACTGTTTCTACATACCATTCCCTGCAAGGCCTGTTGTATAGCCGACTTCTGTTGCTGATATTGATTTTTCATTTTATTCAAAGATTCCTTTCGCTTTTGATCAGCACTCATGGATTTGTCATCCAATTGCGCTTGAGTTTTCGTCTTCGATTTTTTGGCCTCAATAACATGGATGGGCTGAACATCTTGATCTTGTTGTATAACAATTTTGCCATTGTACAAAGAATTGGCAGCCCTCTTCTTGGTAATCATTAAGTCTGCCGGCACATCATCATCATCGTCCAATTCAGCATCAACATCAAATATTTTCCTTTTATTTGATTTGGGGGCACTTAACAATTCAGATTGTTCCTCCACAGATTTAGGGGCCATCAATTGGTTGCCATCGCTGGCCGCCTTGGCTTCTTCACGTTCCCTTTTCAAACGTTCCAAAAATGACTCTTTGGCCAAGGATACCTTGATCTGTTGGCCATAGATCTTTTGCCAGTTTAGATCCTTTAAACCTAAAAGTGCCAAGTTATTAATATACCAATCCCACAGCCATCACAGCTTCATACTTACAATACTGGGCATCGTCCTGTCCAATATTTAGAGTCACAAAGGCAATCACCTTCACATCATTGGGATCCACAAGATTTTCTTTGGTTTTAAGCTCAATGTTTTTTATTTCTCCATAGTCCTGAAAGAGATTACGCAAATCCTTCTCCTTGGTGTTGGTTGGCAAATTTGCCACAAAAAATCGGGACGTCTCCATTGGAAAATCGGGGGAATAATTGGGAGTTTCTTCTTCTAGAGCACAACGTGTGTTTACAACTCTCCCACATGCAACAACAAAAACAGTTGCTGGTGAAGGGTTCTAAAGATCGAAAAAATATACTTGCAGGGCTCTGAAAATCGAAAAATAATATTCAACAGGGTTCTAAGAATTAAAAATGTTTTTACTAGACAAGTGTTGTTCAGAAATTTGTTTGGCCTGTTTCAGAACTGCAGGATTATAAAAGCTTTTACTACGATTCCTATCCTTAATATTATCGAAAAAAATTGCAAAATTAGTACATACTTTTAGTTCCTGAAACAGACCAGTTATAAATTGTTTTACAGAAAGGGAGCAAATGAAAAAATCGGACGTGCATATTTTAGGAATTAGAATAATTAGAATCTACTATTTTGCAATATGTTCGATATACCGATTTTCCCAGTAAAAAAGTTAAATTCTTGCAATTCTGAAACAGACTAATAATTTTTCATTGATAGATATATAACTGGCTTGAACATAAAACAAATGTGCTGGACACAAATATCAAAAACATATGTTTTGTTCCAGAACCTGCAAGAATCTACTTTTTTTGCTATTTTTTTGATATCATAAAGGGAAATAACCGATTTTATCAGTAAAAAACTTAAATTCTTGCAGTTCTGGAACAGACTAATAATTTTTCATTAATATATATATACACTGGCAGAGCCAGCTTACGTATGGTTGTATATTTTATTGCTTTTTCGCGTTTAAATCTGTCATTTTGGGGCTTTTCTGTTTAATTTCGCGATTAATTTTTTCAAATATACATTTAGCAACACTGAGTCACGTACGTCAATGCGCAAGAATGAACGAATTTTAGTGGAACGCATTCTGATACGAAAGTGAGTGACTAGCTTTCGTTCGCACAAAATTTCTTTCGTTAACGTGGAACAGGCTGTAAATGTTTGCGAGAACTGCACTTGTTGTTCTGCAACAGAGCATATGATTTCACAAAACAGGGGCACCAACATAAATAATTGGGTATAGGATGTAGCTTTGTTCTCCTCCTGTAATTGTACCCTTTTTGTATATAAGGTCGAGTAACGAATAGAGAGGAAATTAAGAACAGCGAAACGATTTTTTCGTTGTTATTTATATATTTTTTTTGACAATTTTATTCAATAATAATTACATGCATTACAAATGCATTTTTTCAGTGTAAACCAAAGAAAATCGATAATATGAGCTGCAACAAATAATCGATTATTCGATATCTGCAACTCATCGAGTGACTTTAGTCCAAAGTCGACCTACATATCCCTATTCTCTATCTGAACTACTGAAAAAGTGACGAATTATATTTATTCGATTAAAAAAAAAACTAAATTCACACCGAAAATTACAGCAATATTCTATGAAATTACGTATTGTGTTAATTTTTCAATTTCAATTGGATACATAGATTACAAAGAAATCAAGTTAAACACAACACATAACACGAGAAAGTGAATTCGATTTCAAAGTAAAAGTTACTCAGCACAGCAAAAGAGCAAAGCAAAATGGCTGAAGGTGGAAACAGAAGAATTATTGTTAATGTAAAAACACCAAAAGAAAAGAAAATGATAGAAGTGGATGAAGATTCTGGAATTAAGGATGTAAGTGTAATACAAATGATGTCCAGTGAGTGATGAAATTTGAAAAAAAGAAATAATATTGTCTGGCACATTTCGTTTGGTTTTATGAAGGTGGTCACATATCAGGCTGGTTGCAGAAAGAGGCGGCGGGATTACGCCGAATGGAATTTGTAATGAATTAAAGTAGATGATGATTGTGAATGGCTCTCATTTGGATTGTTGAGTGTGATTAGAGTAAATGTGGAAAGGGGGTGAGGAGGAAGAAATGCAAAGTGTTTGTTGGTTGTTTGGGGGAGGGGGAGGGTGGATGTGGTCGTTTCGGTGAGAAAATAAAAGGTGGCGGGTAAACATATCATGTGTGTCAAGTCAAAGTACAGTGAGTGCATTCACCATAGCAGCCAGTAGCCGCCGCCTCAATGACGAAAACCCCCATCACCTGAATTGATGAAATGCAGCAGTTGTAAATGAAATAATTCTCTTCTCTTTCCACTTGTTTCAAATACAATGACCCAGAAACCAATAAACAAGATGAACGGTGTCATGACGTGTTCTTGCAAAATGTCAATGCCAGAATAAATCTGCTCTGCTAACACCTCTTGATGTTGACCTTAGCCACACAAACCATTATAGAAGCACAAAAAAAGCAAGCAGCACATGTATTTTAATTTGTTTATTTATCTGAAAATTTTGCTGTGTTTCTTCTTCTTCTGATTTAATTTATTTATTGTTGTTGTCTCTTTTGCAGTTCAAGGCCTTGGTTGCTGAGAAATTTGAAGCTGAACCGGAACAGCTGGTTTTAATTTTTGCCGGTAAAATTATGAAGGACACTGACACCTTGCAAACGCACAACATCAAGGATGGTTTGACAGTACATTTGGTCATCAAGGCCAAGACACGCAATAGTGAAACCACCCAACGTCCTCCGGCCGATGTACGTCAAACTCCATTTGGTTTGAATACTTTGGGCGGTCTATCCGGCATGGAGGCCTTGGGTGCCGGTTCGGGTACTTTTATGGATTTACAAGCCCGCATGCAAAGTGAACTAATGAATAATGGTGATTTGTTGCGCACCATGTTGGACAATCCCATGGTCCAACAAATGATGAATAATCCCGATGTTATGCGTCAATTGATCACCTCCAATCCACAAATGCAAGATTTAATGCAACGCAATCCGGAAATTTCACATATGTTAAATAACCCGGAATTGTTACGTCAAACCATGGAATTGGCCCGTAATCCCTCGATGTTGCAAGAGCTAATGCGCTCGCATGATCGTGCTTTGTCCAATTTGGAATCGGTACCAGGTGGCTACAATGCCTTGCAACGTATTTACCGTGACATTCAAGAGCCAATGATGAATGCTGCAACGGAATCATTGTCACGCAATCCATTTGCGGGACTAGTTGACAATGGTGGCGGTGAGTGTTTGTTGGATTTTTTTGTTTTTGGAAATTATATTCATATTTTGTTATTATTTTTAGCAAAGAATTTTTAGGCAAATTTCCTATTGCATACCCACGAAATATTTATAGAGAGTTTTAGGCTTCAGAGGGGCATTAATTTTTAGGCAGAAAGATCCATGTAAATCTTGTTGTTCTCAATGCGCAACTTTTAAGATTTTGGAGTCCCACAAACTCCCACGAAAGGAAACTTTACAAATAGAAATTTGTACATTTGGTAGGCATCAGAGGACCATTAAAAATGCTTTTAAAAATTGTGGACTCAGAACGCACGATCTTTCTAATGTTTTGTAGAATTCAAAGACCCTCAAAGAGATAAAAAAATGTAGACCTCAGAGCACTACAAAAAAATTCCTAAAATACTTTGTTCTCAAAGCGCATCTTTTAAGATTTTGGATGCCTATAAATTCCATAAAAACAACTTTTTAAAATAGAAATTTTTACAATTTGTAGGCAGAACGCACAACCTTTCTAGGTTTTGTAGAACTCAAAGACCTTCAAAGAGATAAAGAAAAAAATTGTAGACCTCAGACGACTGCAAAAAAGTTCGTAAAATACATTGTTCCAGTAAAGAATTTATGGAACCATTTGCTTAAAATTCTGTAAGACTCGGAGGCTCCTAAGACTTCAGAGGCTTACGACAATTTGTATATAAAATGTTAGTCCTTAAGGCCCACGGAAATATTTCAAAAAACATTTAATTGAATTAAGAGCCCAATTATTACCGAATATTTTACGAAAGATCGACTGTTTTTCGAATATCACTAATTTTCCTGCTTTGATATCTTTTTCCAGGCAACAATCCCCAAATGGGTACCGAAAATCGTGAGCCTCTGCCAAATCCTTGGGGTGGTCGCGGCAATACCACTGGAACTGGTGCCAATAATCCTGATTTGCCACCACGCGGTATGCTCAATACCCCAGCTATGCAAAGTTTGATGCAACAAATGTCCGAGAACCCGTCATTGATGCAAAATCTCTTAAATGCTCCCTATACCCGTTCCATGTTCGAGGCAATGAATCAAGATCCCGATATGGCTGCACGTCTACTAAGCACCAGTCCCATGCTGGCCAATAATCCGCAACTGCAAGAACAAATACGCCAAATGATGCCACAATTTATGGCACAAATGCAAAATCCCGAAGTCATGAATTTGCTAAGTAATCCCGAGGCCATTAATGCCATTATGCAAATTCAACAGGGTATGGAATCGTTGAGATCGGCTGCTCCCGGACTGATGGGTTCGTTGGGTGTACCACCACCACCGCCCGGTAATACCAACACTGATACCAATACTACAAATACCAGTACGAACACAACGGCCACAGGAGATAGTCAACCGGCCATGGCTCCTGGCGGTGGACCCAATGCTCAGCTGTTTAATGACTTTATGACGCGAATGTTAAATGGCATGACCACCACAGCGGATAATACACAACCTCCGGAGGTGCGTTATCAGTCACAATTGGAACAATTGACAGCAATGGGTTTTGTTAATCGTGAAGCCAATTTGCAAGGTAATGGAGGAAAATTAAATAGAAAATGTTTTGGAAACTTTATTTATTTATTTATTTTTTAATTTTTTTTCTAGCATTAATTGCCACCTTTGGAGACATCAATGCAGCTGTTGAGCGACTGTTATCATTAAACCAGTTGTCTCTAAGTTAACATACCTAAGCCCCGCCCCAACCCCTCTACTATTATTACAACTTTCCTAACAACAAAACAAAAACAAAAAAAAGAATTAATCCTGTTTGTGTATGTGAGCGTTTGTTTTTCTTCTCCTCGATTCTAATTATTTTATATATATAAATATAATAAAATAAATTCTATAAATATATACCAATATATAAAAAATACAACCCCCCAACAACAACAAAGACGGAACTCACACAAAATAATATTACGAAAAAATTATTGGATTGTATTGAGGTTAAAAAAGGATTGATTTATATTTCAAAAGATATAACAGTTTAAAAAAAAAGACCATAATATATTTATGCAAAAGCAATTGTAATTACTACTATTTTGAATGGATTTCGCCATTACCACCCATTTTAGTCGATTTAATTAGAAATTCTAAATTTACGCTTGCTTGCTTGCTGGCTGGCTTGTTGGTAATGAATTATTAATTCTAATTTATATAATTAAGTCTTGGGTATATTTCCAACATATTTTTTGTTTGTTTATTTTTAGTCCACAACTAGAAAGGTAAACAAAGGTCATTTATATTGTTTTTTCGTTGAACAAATATTTCTTTTTTTCTGTGTGCTAAGGTGTTTAAGACATTTACATTTTTCCCCCGCTTGCTCTATTCCAAAAACAATTTGATTGTTAAATGTATTTCAATTTTCGTTTAATTGTTTTATGAAAATAAAGCCGAATATATAACTGATTTTCAGTTTTAAATTAACTTTTATTTTTAACAAAAAAAAAAAAAAAACAATCTTGGAGGCATCACAAACTTTGGCCATAACTCTTGAAGTGGGTCAGTTAAAAAATCACAGTTTGACATTTTTGTATTGTATATAAACAAAGGATAACTGAAGAAAAAAATTTAAATAAAAATTGAAACAAACACCACTTCTATTTTGTTGGTGTCACATGGGAACCGTGGTGGAAAATGCTCCTCAATACTAAATCACTGCTTTACAGCAAAGGTGGTTTAATTTGAAACATTCAATCATTCACAATAGGTTTAACAATAATGGGATAAAAATATATATTCATATATTATATAGAGAAAATAAAGTTTTGTTCTTTATTTTTAAAAATTAAAAAAAAAAATAAAATTACAAAAAAAAAAAAAAAATACAAAAAATATTGTTTTATTTCGAAAAAAAAAACAAACAAAACAATGGTTTGTATTTTTCTGGATTAAATACCCACACAAGATCCAAAATTAAAATTGGTGTATAGAAAATAATCTTTCTTTAAATAAAAAAGATTTAAAACAATTAAATTAGTATTAAATATTCCATTTTAAGCAATTGATGTTTTTTTTAAATTTTGTTGTTGTATATTGTTGACCTGTTATATTTATTTTACATGTTTGGTTAATTGCTTGGCTTAAGGTCATTAAAAAACTATGTTTTTAAATTATTTTTTTAATCGGCATCTATAGATGTAATATTTAAACAAAATATGTCCATGAAAATAAATTTTGAAGTATGAGGCATTTGGAAGCCAAGGTTTTCTTTAATATATATATATTTTTTTTAAACAAAAATTAATAATTTTTAAAACATACAGAGTGAGATGAAAACAATTGCAACCAACTTCAGATTGCTGTAATTTCTAAGCCACTCGTCCGACAGCTGTTAAAATTATTCTAGTCACAGCTCATTATATTGTTTACAAGTGCACCAAAGCATTTTGGTGAGAATGTTGCAGAAAACAAGTTTTTCGTGCCGGAATTCAAGCGTGATAGTGTGATTTCTTTATATTTGGTTGGAAAACCACAAGTGACTATCGTTAGGGCACTTCAGCATTTAAATGTGAATAAATCTTTTGTGGCTCGTACCATCGCTCATTACCGTGATACTGGTAGCGTAGCCGCCCGAAGTCAAGGAAGTGGACGAAAGAAAACAGCAACATCAGCAGAAATGGTTCGAAAGGTAAAGAAGCGACTTGATCGAAGCCACCCGCGTCGCAGTGGCCGAAAAGTGGCTCGTGAGCTGAACATATCGCAATATTCTATTCAGAAAATATTGAAAAATGAGCTCGGGGTTAAGCCATTGAAATTCCAAAAACTGCAAGAACTTACACCGCAACTGAAAGAAAATAGTAGACCCAAAAGAGCTAAAGAGTTGCTTCGTTTGGCCAGCCGAAAGTGGTGAACTGCCGAGTTTTGTATTCTACGATGAGAAAAAATTCGTTGTCCAGCGGTTTGTAAACAAACCAAATGATCGTGTTTACTTGCCAAAGAGGTCAGCTGAAAATATGCACCTTCGGTGGGCCACCAGAAGTCAAGCCCCGGCCATGGTGATGGTGTGGACCATCATAATTGCCGATGGTCGCTCTCCGCTCGTATTAATCGGCCATCAGAATAAATGGCTAATATTATCGCAAAAATATTCTGGAGTGTGTATTAAAGCCTTGGGCACGCAAACATTTTGGCCGCAGACCTTGGACATTCCAACAGGACTCAGCACCATCGCAGCACTCAGTACGAGACACCCAAGAATGGTTACAAAATGAGGATCCTCGCTTCATTTCCACCGCACAATGGCCACCAAAATCTCCGGACACCAATTCGTTGGACTAGTGTGTCTGGTGGAATTTTGAAAAGCAAGGTAGGCACTAAAAAATACCAAAATGTCGATCACCTCAAGCAAGTGCTTCGCCGGGAATGGGCCAAAATACCGCAGAGCAACATTCGGGCAGCGTGTGATGGTTTCATTGGCCGTTTGAAGGCCATAGTTCGTACCAAAGGTAACCAATTCGAACAGATCTAAACTTATTCTAAAATTTTATGCTATTTTCCGACATTTTTTGCTTTAATTTAAAAAAATGAAAAAAATATGGCGTTTGACTTTGTTGCAGTTTTTTTTATCTCACCCTGTATATGCATATATGCAATACTTCTGAACAAGTATAGAGCTGTATGTTCGACCGGGCCGATCTTTGAATACCCTCCACCATTTGAAACGATTTTGGCAATTTTCAAACAAATAAAATTCGTTTAAAATCCTAAAAATACCGAATGTAGCTATTATATTAGGGTCTATACGATGACATGGACCTGCATAGGTAACTTTTGTCATAAGTCATTACAATATTCAAATGCGAAACTTGAAAAAAATCGGTGAATAATGTAGCTAAAATTATCAAAATACCGGATATATGGAGATAGCATTATATGGGGCTATACCAAAACGTCGACCTGCACAGACAATTTTCTGTCTTAGGCTGTATTATATATTACGAACTTCAAATACCAAATTTGAAACAATTCCGGTGAATAATGTCGCTAAAATCGTCAAAATACCGAATATCGGGAGGTACCGTTATATGGGGGCTATATGAAGACGTGGACCTGCACAGATAATTTTCTGTTATAGGCTGTAGTATCCATTACGAATTTAAAATACCAAATTTGAAACAATTCCGGTGAATAATGTCGCTTAAATCATCAAAATACCGAAAAAAGGAGCTACCATTATATGGGGGCTATACGAAGACGTGGACGTGCACAGACAATTTTCTGTCATAGGCTGTAGCATCGGCTATGAACTTCAAATACCAAATTTTAAGCAATTCCAGTAAATAATGTCGATAAAATGATCAAAATACCGGATATAGGAGGTAGCATTATATGGGAGCTATACGATGGCGTAGACCTGCACAGACAATTTTCTGTCTTAGGCTGTAGTATCCATTTCGAACCTCAAATACCAAATTTGAAACATTTCCGTTGAATAGTGTTGCTTAAACCATCAAAATACCGAAAAAGGGAGGTACCGTTATATGGGGGCTATACGAAGACTAGGACCTGCACACACAATTTTCTGTCATAGGCTGAAGTATCCATTACCAACTTCTAATACCAAATTTGGAACCATTCCGGTGAATAATGTCGCTGAAATCATCAAAATACTGAATATCGGGAGGTACCGTTATATGGGGGCTATACGAAGACGTGTAACTGCACAGACAATTTTCTGTCACAGGCTTTAGTATCCGTTACGAACTTCAAATACCAAATTTGAAACATTTCCGGTTAATATTGTCGCTAAAATCACCAAAATACCGAATATCGGGAGGTACCGTTATATGAGGGCTATACGAAGACGTGAACGTGCACAGACAATTTTCTGTCTTATGATGTAGCATCCAATACGAACTTCAAATACCAAATTTTTAAGAATTCCGATGAATAATGTCGCTAAAATCACCAAAATACCGAAAAAGGGAGGTGCTCTTATATGGGGGCTATATGAAGACGTGGACCTGCACAGACAATTTTCTGTCTTAGGCTGTAGTATCGATTACGAACTTCAAATACCAAATTTGAAACATTTCCAATGATTATTGTCGCTAAAATCATCAAAATACCGAATATAGGGAAATACAGATATATGGGGGCTATACGAAGACGTGGACCTGCACAGACAATTTTTTGTCATAGGCTTAAGTATCCATTACCAACTTCTAATATCAAATTTGGAACTATTCCGGTGAATAATGTCGCTAAAATCATCAAAGTACCGAATATCGGGAGGTACCGTTGTATGGGGGCTATACGAAGACGTGGACGTGCACAGACAATTTTTTGTCATAGGCTGATGTACTCATTACGAACTTTAAATACAAAATTTAAAAGAATTCCGGTAAATATTGTCGCTAAAATCATCAAAATTCCGAATATCGGGAGGTACCATTATATGGGGGTTATACGAAGGCGTGGACCTGCACCGACAATTTTCTGTCACAGGCTGTAGTATACATTGCGAACTTCAAACACCAAATTTGAAACCATTTCGGTGAATAATGTCTCTAAAATCATAAAAATACCGAATATTGGGAGGTACCGGTACATGGGGGCTATACGAAGACGTGGACCTGCACAGACAATTTTCTGTCATAGGCTGTAGTACCCATTACGAACTTCAAATACCAATTTTGAAACCATTCCGGTGAATAATGCCGCTTAAATCATCAAAATACCGAAAAAAGGGAGGTACCGTTATATGGGGGCTATATGAAGACGTGGACTTGCACAGACAATTTTCTGTCTTAGGCTGTAGAATCCAATACGAACTTCAAATACCAACTTTGAAGTAATTCCGGTAAATAATGTCGCTAAAGTTATCTAAATACCGAATATCGGGAGATACCGTTATATGGGGGCTATACGAAGACATGGACCTGCACAGACAATTTTCTGTCATAGGCTGTAGTATCCATTATGAACTTCAAATACCAAATTTTTAAGAATTCCGATGAATAATGTCGCTAAAATCATCAAAATACCGAATATCGGGAGGTACCGTTATAAGGGCGCTATACCAAGACGTGGACCTACATGGCCCATTTTCAAAAACAAAAGTCCTGCATACATAATATACATTTGAGTAAAATTTTATCAATCTAAAGCAATTCGTTCGGTAGCTAGAGTGATTTCCACAGACGGACAGACGGACGGACATCGGTAAGTCGATATAGAATTTTATGCTGATCGAGAAAATAAATACTTTGAGGGTCTAAAATGTATATTTCGTGGTGTTACAAACGGAATGACAAACTCAATATACCCTCCATACGATGGTGGAGGGTATAAAAATGGTAAAATTATGGCGTTTTACTTTGTTGCAGTATTTTTATCTAACCCTGTATATATGCATATCAAAACTTTTAAAAAATATTTGGAAAAATAATTTTGTCCGTCATCAAGGATTTCAAGCCCATTCTGCCAAAGAATTCTGCTTTGTTTCCAACTTGTTACAATTTATCAAACATTACCCTCCAACATGTTTGACTGTTTGAGACGATCGCCCAACATATTTTACTTCAAACACACACGAAATTTGATGGTGTCTCGTCGTTGCCTGTTTCGGCTAGGTTCAGTCATGTTGGAACCGTAAACTCAACGAATTGGTAAGCGGAAAGGCGCGCACGTTCTCTGTTTTTTTTTTGACGGGCAATTGAATATTGGCGGATTTTTTTGTGTGTGTTATTGTTGCTGCCAATACCATAAACGAAAAAAAGTGGTTTTTAAAAGCCTCCGGCCGCCCAAACTGCAACAACAATTCGATTCATTGCAAAATTCCAGGAGGGAAATAAATCTGAATTGGGGGAGAGAGAGAGAGAGAGAGGGAGAAAAGCCTAAAGTCTCTAACTAAAACAAAATTAAAACAACAACAACATCAAGGAGTTAAGGCACAACGCCTTAAAAAGATTCCTTGCCAGCCGGGCTCCAAACCCCCCAAAAAAGTTGTTGTTTTTGGTTGGGGTGATGCAAGAAGAATTCCTTTTTGTGTGAGTGTTTTTTTTTTTCAAATCAACAACAAGTTTTGGAAGTAAAGTGAAGTTGTGGCAAGTAACAAAAAAAAAAAAAAAATGGGAATCGAATTCTCTATCCCAGTCAGCCAGCTAGTCCAGATGAAAATGTGAAGGGAAATGCTGACAGGAAATTTTCAAGTGAATGAAATTCATGACCCATAAAGGCACTTGTTTTCGCAAATTTTTTTATGCAAAACGAAATTAAAACAAAAATAACAAATTGTGGCTACAAATCAAAAAAAAAAAAAAAATATTTCAACATTTGAAAATTAAAAAATAAATATCCATAAAAAAACCTAGTGTAAACACATGAAAAAATTTAAATACCAAAAGCAATAACAAATACAACAACTTGTGTTCAATACTCCTGCAATTGTTTGCAAAAAAAAATATATATTTATAGCTTCTCCCACCCTCATCGTCTTCACTTTTGGCTGTCCGGTGTTGAAAGTGTAACAGAATAGTAGTTTCAAACATATAATTTTTTTGTTGTTGTTGTTGATGTTGGTGAAACCCAGAAATGTGGAGCATTCCTAAAATTAAACCATTTCCGCGAAATGAAAAATGAATGCAAAATATTATTATGACCCACTCAAGTGTTTGCTGAACAGAAAATGTTGGAATCGAAAAACCAAACGTTAGCTGGAAAATTATCTGGAAAATTATCTTCAAATTACATTGGGATTAAGACGAAATGCAAATAATGTAAGTTGTTGATTTTGAAATTGAAAACTTTAAGAAAATACTGCTCAAAATGAATGAGAGATTATGAAGAGAATATGAAATATTGAAAATTTGAATTAAATTTTTATAAAATTCAAGAATAAACATATTTCATACGAAAAAACCAGTAAAGAAAGTCTTAAAGTCGGGCGGGGCCGACTTTATGATACCCTACACCACTTTGCTAATTTAGTAGGGCTCCACATAACAATTAAAAGTTTTTATGGGAGAATTCAATCATACACACTATGATTATAATTATATTTTAAAGATCAAAGGACTAAATATGCCGAAGCATTTGTATCTTTTAAATTCGGAATTGTATTGCCCATTTGGTGCACAATTAATTTGAAATCGGATAAAGATATATATCCAGTCTGATATATATCCAGCTATATCCAAGTCTGAACCGATCTCGATAAAATTTGGCAAATATATTTCAGAGCTGTATTTGATTTATTTCCCTAAATATCATTGTTACGGAGTGCATATTATGGTTGTGGGTAACAAATATAACAAATCGGATGAATAATATATATGGAAGCTATAGCTATATCTGAACCGATCTTCACCAAATTTGACATACTAGCTTCTAGACTCAATTCGGTCGTAAGTGCCAAATACCATCCCATTTAGACAAATATTAGACGTATGGTGCACAATAAAAGGTCAATCGGACGAAGTTATATATGGGAGCTATATCCAAATCTGAACCGATCTCGATAAAATTTAGCAAACGTATTTCTGAGCTGTATTTGATATATTTCCCCAAATATTGTTGTTGCAGAGTGCATATTACGGCGGCGGTGGACGAAAATAACAAATCGGATGAACAATATATATGGGAGCTATATCCAAATCAGAACCGATTTCGATCAAATTTGGCATACTTATTTTAAGGCTTAATTTGGGTGTATATGCAAAATTTCATACAATTCGGGCTGATATTACACGTTTGGTGCACAATAAAAGGCAAATCGGAGCTATATCTAAATTTTTACCGATTATCTAAAATTTCAATAGGGTTCGTCCTTGGGCCAAACAAATGATCTGTGCAAAATTTCATCTGGATCGGGCAATAAGTGCGACCTGTACTTTGTTTACAAAAATACATGGACAGATGGACGGACGGACAGACGGACGGACGGACAGACGGACGGACGGACATGCATAAATCGACTCAGAATGTGATTCTATGCAGATCATCAAAAGGAACTATGGGTCTATCTCGTTTCTTTCTGCCTGTTACAAACAAATGCACAAAGACATAATACCCTGACCACCTTGTGGTGTAGGGTATAATGAGATATTGATTATACCCTACAACACTATGTGTTGGGGGTATTATAAGTTTGATTGGACCAAAAATTATATAACACCTCGAAATATTGGTTTCCCACATAGGAATGTATATACGGATCTTCCTATCTCGCCGAGCTGAGTCGATCTAGCTATGTATGTCCGTCCGTCCGTCTGTCCAAGTTCATTTTTAATCACTCTACAGGTCGCAATTATGGCCCAATCTTCACGAAATTTAAAATGGACGTGGGGCTAGGGCCGGAATAGAAGCCTATTGCTTTTGGAGATGATCGCATAATATTTAGGAGTTGAAATGGAGCAAAACATTTTCCTTATTTTGCAATTGCTCTACAGCTCGCAATTATAGAACAATCGACGCGGATTTTAGTGTGGGGCTAAAGCTTAGGGCTGGGCAGAAGTCTTCCAATTTTGATGGTGATCAGGTAATATTTAGTGGGTGAAATAGACCATAACATTTTTGTTAAATAAAAGTCAAGTTTTCCATAAACTGCGAATATTTTTTATTCCGGCGAAATCCCAAATAGACGGAAAGGTCAATTCTGACCGCTACGTAGATGCCGATAGTAAATATATCGTATATATGTAGCGAAATATATACAATGTGTAAATACAAAGGATGGGGATTTTAGCTAGAATGCTTATATCTCAAGAATGGCTGGACCGATTTTGACAAATTTTGTCAATTCAGAATGCCCCTCTTGGTATAAAAGGATAAAATCTAAAAAATCGCATAAAAATGCCAATAATGGTGTTAATATTGATTTTGTAATATTTTGTGACATTTTTTTATTTTTTTAATTTTTTTTTATCGCATGCGGTTTTTTTCAATTCGACTTATAATATTGAAGTGTATATTTTGTAATATTTTTTCACCTTACAATACAGGTTGGGGTTATTATATATAGATTGCAATTATCGTCCGATCCTCACAAAAATTTTCACAACGATAGGGTTAGGCTCAGAAGTGCTAGGCCTATTGTTTTAAAGATGTACGCAATATATTTATGGTTGAAACACACCAAAAAGCAAAAAAAAAAAATCCTGATCACACAATTGAAGCCAATCGACACGCCTGAGAAGAGAGTTAAGGCTAGGGAAGAATTCTAGCATTTTGGATGACCATTGGATTATATTTAGCTGTAAAATGGACTACAACAACTAAGAGCACGGTGGACTGCGTAAATATTGGGTAAATGTGTCTTATCAAAATGCTAAGGGCGCTCCGTGACATAATTTCAAAAGCGAAATCTTCCAACATGGATTTGGACATAAAGGAGCTTCTAATATATTGTAGTGTTGTAGGGTATCACATGGTCGGCCCTGCACGGCAATAGACTTTGCTTACTTGTTAAAATGAAAATAGTTTTTATTTTCTAAATATGTGAGATTATGCCAAAATCATTGAATTTTGAAACAGAATTTGGAGAATTCTTCATTTTTATGGCCAATTTAATCAATTGATAACCTCTATAGAATTTCCGTTACAAAGCTTCAAATTCGATATTGTTATTAAAAATAAGAATGTAAATCGCTTTTTATGCCTAATTAATTTATATCCGAATTCCGTTACACTTAATGGCTTTAAATTCTAAAAAAAAAAATAAATATTGTGATTTTCGATATTTTTATACCCTCCACCATGGTATGGAGGGTATATTAAGTTTGTCATTCTGTTTGTAGCACCTCGAAATATACATTTTAGACCATACTTTGATCAGCATAAAATTCTATGTCGATTTAGCGATGTCCGTCCGTCTATCCGTCACTCTGGAAATCACTCTAGCTTCCGAACGAAATGAAGTAGATTGATGAAATTTTACTCCAATGTATATAAAGTGTGCAGGACTTTTGGTATTGAAAATGGGCCGTGTAGGTCCACGTTTTGGTATAGCCCCTCATATAATGGTACCTCCCATTTTCGGTATTTTGATGATTTAAGCGATATTATTTACCGGAAATGTTTCAAATTCGGTATTTGAAGTTCGTAATGGATACTACAGCATATGACAGAAAATTGTCTGAGCAAGTCCATATTTTGGTATAGCCCCCATATAACGTTACCTCCCGATATTCGGTATTTTGATGATTTTAGCTACATTATTAACCGGAATTGTTTCTAATTTGGTATTTGAAGTTCGTAATGGATACTGCAGCCTGAGGCAGAAAATTGTCTGTGCAGGTCCACGTCTTCGTATAGCTCCCATATAATGGTACCTCCCTTTTTTCGGTATTTTGGTGATTTAAGCTATAATATTCCCCGGAAATGTTTCAAATTTGGTATTTGAAGTGCGTAATGGGTACTAAAGCATATGACAGAAAATTGAATGTCTTCTTCGTATAGCCTCCATATAGCGGTACCTCCTCATTTTCGATATTTTGGTGATTTAAACGACATTATTCACCGGAAATGTTTTAAATTTGGTATTTGAAGATCGTAATGGATACTACAGCCTATGACAGAAAATTGTCTCTGCAGGTTCACATTTTGGTGTAGGCCCCCTGGTAATAGTACCTCCCTATATTGATGATTTTAGCTACATTATTCACCGATTTTTTTTTCAAGCTTCGCATTTGAATATTGTAATGGCTTATGATAAAACTTGTCTATGTAGGTCCACGTCGACGATAATAGACCCTAATATAACGGCTACATTCGGTATTTTAAAATTTTAACAGAATTTGTAATGGATTTTTTTTTTTTTTTGAAAATAGCCCAATTTGTTTCAAATGGTGGATGGTATTCAAAGTTTTTACTTGTTTTACAACAGCTTTGTTTACTTGTTATACATGAAAAACTTCTCCCCGTCTTTCATTACGAGTCAAGGCTTCAAATTTAATAAAATAATGTGTTATGTTATTAAAAATATATGTGTAAATCGCCTTTATTCTCTATCCTTGTCAAAAAATGAACTAGTTCCTTTGTTCCATTTTATTAAAATATTGGGGTAAATCACTAACACTATCTTATTTTTAAAAAGTATGGTTTTAAAACATCAATATTTTATATTTTTTCAATATTTTACTTTTCAAGATGTTTGGCGTTTTTTTATACATAAGCATTTCTCCCAGATTTTCAAGACTTAAAATGTAAAAAAAATACTGATTATTCCAGTAGTTGCAACAATCAACTAGTTTTGCAATTTTCTCCGATATCATAAGGGGAAAATCGGTTATCGCAGTAAAAACTTTTACATTCTTGCAGTTCTGGAACAGATCATATGTTATTAGTTATTGTAATCATTTTAACCTCGTTCCTTGCCTGAAGAGGAACTAGTTTTCTCGTTCAATTTCGCAACAATTTTAAGTGTAAACCCTTTCAGTATTTTTTATTTTTTTTTTTTTAAGAATTGGGTTTAGTTTTTCGACTTGCGTGGCTATATTGTCGATACAATCCACTCGCTCAGGGGTTATTGCTTCACTATGTTGATCCAATTCAGTCCATTAGAGCCCATTGATTCATTGTGTTTAATTTCATTCATCGAACCGATTAATCATTTTTGTTCCTTGAAAGGAACTAGTTCCTTCGTTCCATTCGTTAAAATGTGAGTGTAAATCATTCCATGGTAGAAGAATAACAGAAGAATACAGGTAGATGCATAAAATTAAAAGGGGGTTTCAAACAAATGTATTTCTTAAATGTTTTCTTATACGACGTCATTCGG